TTCTGCTTTGGCCACCCGGGACGCGCCCGGCACACTCCTAACTGGGTTTTCCAGGAAAAAAGCCATTGTTCTGGCCCGAAGGGAAGTGCGGACGGAGCGGCGGCCGCTTCCTGCCCCCGCCTGCGAGGGGCGCTGCTGCGGGGCGCGCCAGGCTCCACGGGACCTCCGCCTTTTGGAACTAGGTCTCCAGGTCTCGGCACTCGTCCTGCTTTGCGCGGGAGCAAAAGGGCCGGGGAGGGGGGGCTGGGGGGGTAGCGGGGAAGGGATGGGAGCAAAAGTGCTGGCGGGAGCCGGGGAGCAGCAAAAACGGAGCCGCGCCCTCCCCCCAAAGGCGAGAGAGGAAATGCATCCCCTGAGGACGCGAGCTGCTGTGTTCTTACTCCAAGCCCCGCATTTTAGGGCGCACGTAGGAGGACGGGAGGTGCACCTCTTGTTTCACGCTTTTGAAACGGATGTGGGGACTGGGAGCGAGGTTTCGGGCGGTGGCTGTAACCTAGGACTGAGTCCTCGGGCCGCCAGCATTTGGAAATGCGCATCTTTTGGATCAGTTGCGCGCGGCAGAAAGAGGATTGGACCGTGTTTCACAAGTGGGGTGGCCTGGAGTCCCTTTTGGGGTCCTGGGTGGAGGCGACCCTTTTATTTTCTGCTGTGAAGGTCCGTATTCCAGGAGCAATTCCCCCGTAAGTCATGTAGCTCTTGAACCAGAGGAAGCCAGACGCTGAATGAAGGAGATAAACGCCAGCCTCCCCCGCCCCCCCCCCCGCCCCCGCGTCAGTACAGTTTAACTCCGTGAACATTCACTTTCTGGTTTTGTGTCCTCCTCGAACGCAGCTGCAAAGTGCTCTCTCTGCTGAGCAAATGAGAAACTCGTTTCTAGTTGCAGGAGGCTGCGTCCCACTGGGGTTTTGACCCTTAGAGCGTGTTCACAAGGGCCCTGCAGGACAGATGCACTTGTTTTAACCGGAAGGCCCACTGTGCGACCGTGGAGCTGAGGGGCCCTCTGCTATGGCATGTTTTCCATTTATTTGGTGAAATAGGTTCCCTTCAACCGAAGTCCTGGAAAGACCTGGGGTGACCTTTGCCAACTCCGGTGTTGCTTGCGAAGGAAGTGGGGAGAAGGAAGGTTCGCTTGGGGTGGGGCTGGGGGGAAGGATTGCTCCCCGGGGAGGGGCCGCCAGCCAGGGACCCTGGTTTGGGGGTGAAACCTGCCCCGCTGGGGTGGAGAGAGGCTGCAGGCAGCTCTTCGGGTTCCCATCTTGTAGAGCTGGGCAGCCAGTTGTGGGCAGAGGTGGGAGGTGTCCTTGCTGTTATGGGACAGTTTCATTTTGTTTCCTCTTGGGGATACATGGTATCCTGGACACTTGCCTATTTTTTTTTTAAGAAGATAAAGCTTTATAAAGGGAATTCTTTCTTCCCCTAAGAAATAGTTTTTCTAGAAGTTGGTCCTAAACCCATTGGGGGGGGGGGATCAGTTTCTTGGGAGGTGTAGCCGCAAGCTGAGACCCTGCAAGCTCCTCGCTGCTTATTGTCACTCGGGTTCTGACACCTAAACACTGCGGGTCCCCTCCGGTAGCGTTTCCCCGTGACACACAGAACCGGCAGCAGAGGATGCGGGCCAGCCTGCCTCTCACGGCATCGGTCCAGCGATGAACGCTCAGTTTGGCTAACATAATGTTTAGGTGATTTATTTGGAGAAACAAATGTGACCGATTTCAGTGGAATTAAATGATCAGATAAGGAGGGTGACGCGTTCCTTAAAGCGAACCTGGAGCCCAAAGGTGGGGTTTGATTCTGGGTCAGGGCGCTCCCCCAGGTTCGGTGCAATCCCAGGGCAGGGGGGTGTGGGAGGCAGCCCATCGGTGTTTCTCTTTCACGTCAATGTCTCTCTCTCTCTCCCTCTCTCCCTTTCTCTCTCCAATCAGTTCACCTTAAAGAGCCCCGTGTAGCTAGTGGTCACATACCAGACAGGACTGGCTCAAAGGAACGCAAGGGATACACCCTAAACATTTTAAGCAACAGGAATGCAGTCACTAAGTGAACCCTGGGACATGAATAGTGCACCCTCACTTCCACTTGTGCTTTGTCACACGGGCCAGTGTTTTAAAATGCACAGAAGCGATTCAGAGTGCGGGCAACAGGCGCACACTCAGGCTAAATGCTCCACTCAATCCCGCTTTCTACGCAAATGGTAGGTCATCGCTGCTGAAATAAGCATGTTCATGCTGCTCCTGTGGACTGAAAATCCAACATACGACTGAGGCAAAAAAAAATAAATAAAAATGACAGCGTCCCTCGCAAGCTGGAAGAGTCAGGCTGAGATGAAGCCGCCCTGCCTCCGTCTGGCAGCCACTAAGCAGCCCAGTCCCTCCTCCAGCGCAGCTTCCGCGGGCGGAGGGTCCCTGCAAATACCGCCTCGTAACGAGGCGTCCCCAAGGTGGGCCCGGGAGAAAGGCAGGACAAGCAACACGTTGCACAGCCTTTAGTCTAACGTGATGGTGTGTCCCCGCCCAGGGGCCCGCATGCTGGCAGGAGGGAGGGGTGATCTGTGTGTCACGGGGAAATATTACCCACGGGACCCGCAGTGTTTAGGCAACAATAAGCACACGGAGGTGCTGCACGAGGTCTCAGCTTGCGGTTTGCCTGAGACCTCCGGGGGCACGGGCAGAGACGACCTGGGACCCCGCCCCAGAGCCTGGCCCAGGAGCCCCGGGGGCTGGGAGCAGCTGACACGGTTTGGACCATTCTGACCAGGGGCAGCCTGTCCCAGCCTCAGTTTACGCAGGGGAAGGAGCCCTGCGTGGTCTCAGGCCACGGAGGGTGTTCCTGGCGTTTCCCACAGGTGCCTGGTGGGGTGGGTGGGCGCTCTGTGGGCTCAGGGTGGAAGGAGGCAGCCGAAGCTTCAGCACCTGGGACTGGCCGCCAGCCGACTGCTCGGCCCTAAAGACCTGCACACACTGGCCGCCCTTGGGTCCTGGGGGCAGGGAGGGCAAGGAACGTTGCTAATCGGAGGCGGAAACCGACAGTCAACCAGCCAAGCCCTTCGCCCTCCGTGATGTGGAGACCAGCCCGCAGCCCCCATGGGAGGGCTGTGTGCATAAGCTTTTATTTCAGAGGTGGCGTTGGCTAAGTTTGCAATCGGACCAGTCCCTGGGTGCGGTTCTTTTAAAAAATATTTTTTATTGACTTCAGAGAGGAAGGGAGAGAGAGTTAGAAACATCACTGATGAGAGGGAGTCATCGATTGGCTGCCTCCTGGGGATCGAGCCCGCCACCCTGCATGTGCCCTGACCG